ACAAAACAAACAAACAAAACAACCAATCAGCATCTAAATAGACATCACACAACCGAAATTAGCAGAAATATAGCCAATAGACAAGAAAATTTACCATAATTCGGCGTAACATCCAGACCACCGTTGGTTCTTCGAGCCATTTCTCTTTTTACCCCGTTTCTTCTACAAAAATCTATTGCTTCTCCTTCGAATCTCCTAGAATTCCGGTTCCCCCGAAACCCAAAATGATTTTTCCCTAATTTTCGGTTCAAAAGATCGTGTTCCTTCTCCTTCAATTTCTAAAGATTTTGGGTTCACATTTCTTAGGGTTTTCAAATATAGAATTTGGGGAAGAGAGGTTTAAGTTGCAAGGTTGTAAAACGTATGTTTAAGATTGTAAGAGTAGCTCAGTAATTGGTATTTCAAAGTCACGTGAGGGGCACGTTCATTTTCCGTCAAACTTAACTGGCTATGTAAACGGCGGACTGATTTTGTTAAAAAATGGCATGATTAAGGACGACTATTGTAACTCCAAAATGTTTAGGATAAGGCGGATATGGAGGATGTCGATCGAGCCCTTTTACGACGGATATCTTGCCGCCATTATTGTCGATGAAGGTCTCTCCCCTGCGGTTTCTTTACTTGCGGAGTCTGACGAAGAAATCGCACTTTTCGAATCTCATAAATCTTCTTCCTCTGCCCCTGCTTCAGCTCCGCCCACTAGTAAGAACGATGCCTCGAAGGTGATTGATGAAATGCCTAATCCAGTAATATCTTAAATATCGAATTGGTTGTTCCTGAGGTTGTTTTTTCGAGTTCTGTGAAACAGAAATATCTTGAATATGGAATTCAGAGGAAGCAATTACGAAAGAGTAGTTTGTTGACAAAGTCAACTTATCTTTGAGAAAAAATTCCTTTCACCAGTGCCCTCCCAAAGCACTATAACACATTTTCGGTTGCCGATCAAATCGATCTCAGATCACTGCAAACTGTTCGCACTCCGGAAGACGGCGATTGGTCGTGTGTTATGTATTCTCTTGGTAACGTTCCTGTTAGTACATAGATACCCATGCTTTCTTTGGCTCACGAATTATTACTGCGTTTGTGTGCGCTTTTTGGTGAATGATATTTTGTTTCTGTTGATTTATTTGATGGGGAAAATAAATGAATTCAAAATTGTATTTGGTTAACGGTTTCCCGGTGCAAACGCTGGCAAAGTGTGCCAAAACGCACAAATGAAATACTAGTTGCATATAATATTACGATTTTGTACATGCTACAACTGATGAATAACACTAGTTAGTATATAATATCATCCTAAATTTCCACACAACTATACATATGTTCTTATAAATTTGCGCAAAATATACTATATAAACGAGCACGAAATCCATTGAATATAATATAAAATAAACCCGTCTCTTCGTTCAATTACTACTTGACTAATCTTATAAAACAACCCTTTCACTCTAAAAAAAAAGGTAAACATCACAAGAATTCGAAAGAAATAAAAAAAAAGACTAAGAATTATCGCCCAAAAGAAACGGATCTACACAAACATGAAGAGTACCCATTATAAGTCCAAAGCTAACGACAAACCCAATAGTCGAGGTAATCAGCGAACCCATAATCGTGCTGCAGAAATACGGCGTTATGCCACATAACGGCGCGCATCCTGCGTATATATTTTCTTGCCTAATTAGTGAGTATGTTTGCCAACCTACTCCAAGGCTTATACCAACTAGGATATTCACAATCTGCCCAATAGAATGATTTATCAAATTAATTTTTTTGAATGCAATTTAATTTCACAATTAAAAAAAATTAAATTAAATTAAGATGATTTTATAATTACCACATCTAGTACAATGACAGTTTTCCATAGCTGACTTCCAGAAGGTATTGCCATGACTAGACCATTGTATAACCACCCAATGCAGTACACAACAAGACAAAACCTGTCTCGACCAAAATTGAAATAATTTGAATAAGAACTACAAATTAATAACTATAATAATAAATGGTATAGGCCAACTTTATTTTTATTAATTAATCCACCCAAAACATAAATTAATGCCAAAAAAAAAAATCATAACAAATATATTTTCCTTACCTATTTTCTAATTTTATTCTATTTTATGCAAAAAAAAAATGCTGCATTTTTTCGAGGGCACTGCCCCTGTACCAAGGAAATTAAATGCTACACATGGTTATTTACACTAGGTGGATTTGAACTGTAGATCTACAAATATTGACACACGCTTATGTGTATGGGTGCTTGGTGGATAGTTATTTAATCAAATCTACTGTTTGAATCCATCCGGTACGTAAATAATCAGATGTAGCATCTAACTCCCCGAACCCCAAAAATTTAAGTCCAATTGGTAACAAATTTCAGAACTTAGTCACTGGGTATAGGTAATTGTCTCCGATAATTTATAATAACTTTAGTAAGTGTGATGAATTAAAAAAAACACAAAGAAAGAGAGAGAGAGAGAGACTTTCAAGAAACCATTCCAATCGATGTATTTGACTTTGACCTTGAAAGAATTTTGAACTTGAACAGTTTGAATGCTTAAAAACATGACAATGGACGCAATCAAGAAAGAGACAACAGCTAGTACTCTCAGTACAATGGTCTTTACTGGTTTTTCCATTGCCCTTAATTACAACTAACTGCATAATATAACCGTGTAAAAAATAACAGAAAAATGAGTAATATTTTTCATTAGTAAACAGAAATCATAAATTCATGGACTACTTTGTGAATTATTGAATTACCAAAATAATAATAAAGTATCTTCAAATTTTTTTTTTAATAACTACTTAACAAAAGTTATAGTATAATACTAAAATACATTAAAAATCACAGCATTGGATTCATTATTTTACATAATGGAGGAACACCATTTCTCGCGTGTGGCCTCCCCTGGCCCTGCCACTACTCACTATGTATCGAAATATAAATTATAATTGACAAGCAAATAAAAACTACCCTTTGTTTTTTTTGAAATTGTTTTCATGGTACACTGTATATATAAATAAGATTAAAAATAATGGAGGCTCACAAAAAAATAAATAAACATGATGCGATGTAAAAGAATGTGTGTGTGGTTACCTCTCAGAATTACTCACAGTTGTAGATGACACTATTGCGATGGAAAATGAATGAAAAATATTTAGGGCATCCCTTAAATTAATAGGTATTTGAATAAAAAAATTAGGTTTTATTTAGATGGAAGTTTTTTGTTTATGTACAAATTGGTAAGCAAGGAAACTGCCATGCAATGAAAATCAAGAGATCCATTTCTCTCATTTAAACCCCTTTTCTATATATGCAATTTCTTTTTGTTTTTCTTCTGCCCCGGCCTTTTAATACGAAACGACGTCGTTCTTTTCATTTTTCTTTTCTTCCCAAGCAAGCAGCTTGACGACAACGTATGTGCTTATTTTATCTTTTTTTTTTTCTTTTAATCTGCTCGCGCGTTTCAACAATTACTACTGGATCTACAAAATCCTTCCCTCTCTCCTTCTTCCATCTTCATCCAAAACCAACACAGACAGGAGGTGCTGTAGATTTTACAACTTTTATTAAAGACATAAATATGTTGTTAAGGAAAAAAGTTTTGAAAAGTACGATGCGATATTATCCAGGGTGATTGGAGACGCAGGTGAAGTTTTAGCTTCATATGCTTGTTGTGGATAAATTATTTAAAAGAACGTCATACAATATATTTTTTTGCCGACTAATGTTCTTTTTGTTGGTAGAATTAAATTATTCTACACTATTTTCTTTTAGATTTGGCATTTGCCACATCAATACATTAATTAGTTACCGAAATCCACTTTAATTCTTGAAGAGACCGATGATTGTTAACGGAGCTGGGAGAAGGCATTTTGCAGTCCAGAATGTCGGTCTAGGCAAACCTCAATTGATGAACATATCGAGAAGTCGTGTCGCTCTACGGCGAAGAAGAAGAAGAGGGAGTACTCTGTTTCACCTAAACTTTAGTTTATAGCAAAAAAATATAATAGAAGATTCAAATGTTCCACTATTATATTGATGTTTCTTATTGGCACTATTATATTGATGTTTCTTGTTTACAGCTGCTTTTATTCAGGCGACTGAATTCTGAGATGGAGATGGGTTCAGCTTTCACTTTTGAGTACCAATTCATAAAAACGCAGAATCGATGCGTGTTTATCGTTTTCATGTGGTTTATATAACAAGTTTATTATTTGTTTGTGTTTACCTTTTCATTTGTCATAGGGTGCTGATTGAGTTTAGACCTTTTTTTAGTTACAAAACTTTTGGACTGTTATACATTTATCTTTGGATGTGTGTTATTTTATATTTGTATTAAAATTCTAAGTTGAAATTTTTGAACCCTGTTTTCAACTTTCATTTGCACAAGAGAATTTCCAAAAGGGAGAAAAGAGGCCCGAAGAAAGCGCGAGTATTTATTATTTTTTACAGCATTATGTTTTTTTTTTCTTTCCATTTTATGTGATACTTGTTGTTTTTTCATTACATTTTTGCAGCCTATTATTTTGGATTGACCTGTTTGCCTCAAAGATAATGTTTGTTTATTTCAAGCATTAGGCTACTGTTTTCATAAGTGTACCTATTACCGTTATGAGAGATCCACTTTGGGGTCAAATTTGCAATTTGGGTGGGGTATGAATAAATTTAATCGTGAATCATAAGATTTATTTTACTAATTGACTCCAACGTGGATCTCTCTTGCAATATCCGAAAATATCCGCCACCAACGCAGACATGCTTCGACTCCTCCTCAGCTGTAGTTGCGTGTGACTCGTTTACAAAAATTCGCAATACCGAGCTTAAAATCTTATGATTCACGGTTCAAATTGTACGATTTAATTCATTCATAACTTTGTCGATTCAAATGTTAAAATACATCTTATATATCAACAAATCGATAAAATTTTACGATTTATGATTTAAGAAAACTTTAATTTATTATATTCTTTATAATAAACTTGGGATAATTACAATTTTAGTCCATATAATTTATACCAAAGTGATTTCCTTCCTGCTTTAATCTCACTTCCTCTTGAATACACATACTAGTCAGCTCATTCAAATTCCACTTATCTTTTTGAGTATTATAGTGGATTTTGAATGGGCCGAACTTTGATGGAAGTGAGTTAAGGTTAAATTGCACAATGAAGGACTCTTCCACTTTCATGCCAAGAGCTCCAAGTTTGGCAGCCTTATCAGTCATATTCAGGATGTGTTCCTGAATTCCCCTATCACCACCATATTTCATGGTAGTCAATTCAGCCATGAGTGTCCCTGCTAACGACTTGTCCGCTGATTTAAAGCGTTCTTTAATAGCCGTTAACAGTTCCATAGCATTGTCCACCTCGGGAAGAGAAGTCTTAATGTTATTAGCAACGGTCATTCTAATAAGCATAATACTAAGCCTATTGGATTTGGTCCAGGCTTCAATTAGGCTAACTTCTTCCTCACTGTTAGCATCCGTTATTTCTCCAGGTTTTTCAGTAAGCAATGCTAGGTCCAAATCCATAAAACCCAAGGTGAATTGAATTTGTTCATACCATTCGGAGAAATTTGACCCATTGAGTGTCTTAATACCAGAAGCATGCGAGTATAACGAAGTAGGAATAACAACTGAAATAAATATAGCAAATATAATAAGGTAAAGATTAAAGGATGCTCACATAAGACCTTGAGTCATATAAGATGAACTATCGATATCACTACAAGTTCGCATTTGGGTGAAATACATCATACCTATTGTTCACTCTATGTTGGTGTAAATAATCTTTTATAACACCTAAGTAGGGTCTAACACAATTTATCTCACTCATCAATTAGTCATGTTACCTTTAGGTAAACAATTCTAATTGCTAAGTAATATAAATTATGACACCCTACCCAGTTCATAATTAATTAAAATCGACTATCCTTTGAGCTAGTCTCAATTTCTTAATTATGACTGCAATTTGAGAATATTATAATCTTTAATATCATGTAAATGATTAAACTTTCATATAGTTCTTATATTTATTAGATTTTACTAATCTAGGTCACTTTAGCAACTACAAGATTAGTAAATTTCATAAATATAAAACTAATAATATTCTTATTATTTTAATTGAGTGATAGCTTTATTGCTAATTAATCATAAATTGAACATTCAAAAAACAAACAGAATATAATAATACACTTGCATGATTACAGTTAACTTGATGATTATTTCTAATATACGGAACAATTAGTTAAAAGAATAAAAAATAACTTTTCATGTAATATTATATTGCATATGCGTGTACAGAAGATACAAACACATCATACATGCATTGACAAATTTATTTAATTAAATCCATGGAGAATCAAAAAAATTGAATTCATTCATTGACAAATAATAAAATATTAAAGTGGAAGGTAAACCCCGCAAACCCCCGGTTTCAATTAACAATTCTAATTATTGTCTGTGTGCAACATGCAATATCACGTGTGTTGTGTGTGCAGTATTGTGGATGTCCACAGTACAAAACATTGATTTTCCCGAGATAGACATATGATAATTAATTAAATGACATCAATTTGTGGGCCACGATGCTTTGTAACGGCAGAAGACAAATCCCACTCATCATGGTCTTTTATTGTCTTATTACGTTACAAAGTAAATACCATAAATCACCTTAATACCATAATTGAATTACCCACAATTAATTAATTCAAATAAAAGATTAGTGGACCACAAAATAAAACGTTAAAAAAAAAACGTAAACTAACAGATCGTTGTTGATTATACATATGTGGATTTGGCCCTAGAAGTCCTCTTTAATCGAAGCCCTCCCGCGTTGAGTTGTCGCTATTTTATTTACGTACATGCTATGTTTGCATGTTTACGATCTTGCATGCTTTTAAACTAAGGTTTACGACCAGTCGAACCATTTACGACCGGCTAGATAATATAACGATAATATAATTACATTACTCAGCATGTGAATCAATAGGTCCATATGGATCGATATCCGGAACCACTGTTCTGCAAAATGCGATACTGTATACTTGCGGTAATTTATACGTGAGGAAAACGCGTATCAGTGACATGTTATAACAGGTAATCTGATGGTTGTTGTATGAGTTGACATTTAATTTATAAAAATAAATAGATTAAAAATAAATTAGGTGATATGGTTAATTAGTTGGATGATTTTGGAAAGAAGTTTGAAGACACCAAAAAAGGGAAATATTTAACATATTAATTTATAGGGGAAATGTGGGATAACCCCCTAGTTTTGAAAATATATAGGGATAAGTCCTATGGATTTTTCTTTCCTAGTCAAAAACCCAAATTCTAATTTTGTATTTGATAGACTCCCCTAGACAAATTGAAATACCCATTTTGCCCTTTTATTTACAATTTAAAACCCTAAGCCGTAGCTTTTTTTTCCTTTCCCCCCACCAACTTCTATCAGTCGTCCCCTCCCCACTCCCCCACTCTCTCTCTTTCTTTCTCTCTCTAACTGTCTCTCTCTTCTCTTTCTTTCTTTCTCTCTCTTCATCTCTTTCTCTCTAACTCTCTCTCCACCCACAGCTCTCCGCCGTCGTTGCTCCCCTCACGTCCTTGCGCTGCCGCCGTCGCTGCTCCGCCGCCGCCTTGCGTTGCTGCTCCGCCACGGCCTTGTGCCGACCGTCGTTGCTCCTCCCACCGCCTTGAACTCGGTACTAAACCATTCACTTCACTTTTTAAGTTATTTTTTTTTTAATTTATGAATGTCCATCAATTTTAATTTATTTTTTAAGATCTGAATTCTCTTAACTATTTCACCTTATTTTATTGTGTTTTTTTTTTTATGAAAATCAACTAAATTCAAAAATTTTAAATTCTGATCCGACGATGTGTAGTCAGATCTAGAATTGGTGGTGTTCGATTTGTATATATTTACTGCATTTATATATATAAAAAAATACTGATTTACTATGTTTTTGAAGATTTGTGAACAATTAATATTAAAATATTTTTCTTTGGATTAATTTGATGTTTTATTATAAATCATATTATAACTTATTTGAAGATGATTCGAAATGCCTAAAGTGTGAGAGTTTTGTTTGTCTGTAATGAAAAATTTAACCAGTAGTGGTTACTTACATAAGTGATTTGAGTCAGGTGAATATACAATTACATTTAGTCATATACAGTCATGTATAGTCAGTCACATGTAGTCATGCATAGTCATGACTACATGTAACTATACATGACTATATATAGGACTTGTAGTATAATATAGTTATTTGTAGTCGATTTTAGTTCAGTAAATTTATCAACAAAAAAAATCATATTGTTTTTTGTATTTTTCATGTAATTTGATTTTTTATTATAAATCATATATAAGTAATTTTCTTTTGTATTTATTTGAAGATGATTTGAAATACCTAATGTGTGAGAGCTTTGTTTGTCTGTAATAGAAATTTAACCAGTAATGGTTACTTACATGGGTGATTTGAGTCAGGTGAATATACAGTTATATTTAGTTATATACAGTCACATATAGTCAGTCACATGTAGTCATGTATAGTCATGACTACTTGTAACTATACATGACTATATATAGGACTTGTAGTATACTAGTCATTTGTAGTCGATTTTAGTTCAGTAAATTTATCAACCAAAAAATCATGTTTTTTTTGTATTTTTCATGTAACCTAACTCGCATGTTCCATTTGCTATTTGACTCGTATTTTTTTGTCGCAGGTTTTGCTTTTATTATAATTTTATGTCATGCAGAGAATAAAATTCGATGAAGAGCCTTTGTGAAGTTGGATTCATGCTACAGTACTCCGGACTTATGCCACTTATATAACTATAGATAATTGTATATAACTATAGTCACTTGTAGTAACATATATTTATATGTATGTTATGTGTTTTTTAATGTATAGTAATGCGTGTTCATGTTTTAAAGATTATATGCATGTGATTGTGTTTTTTTCAATTTTTTTGGGTTAGTTGATTTATAATATCAAGATTAAATTGTGAATTTTGTTGTTGATGTAGATTAATTTTGGGGTAAAAAGACAGTACATGATTACATATTACTATACATGACTGTGGTATACTGTAGTCATATATAGTCAATTCAGTACAGTAAATTTATCCAAAAACAATTAAAAAAATTAAAATATTAAAAATTAAAAAAATAAAAAAAAATAAAAAAAAATAAAAAAAATAAAAAACGTAAAAAAAAATTAAAAAAAAATTTAAAAAAAAAGTAAAAAAATAAAAAAAAATACAAAATACGATATATATAAAAAATAATAATAGAATAAGAATTTATATTTTTATTAAAATAATCTATAAAAATGATAAATGCAGGCCTAAAATGCTAAATGCAGTTCAACATTATGCTGAATGTAGGGGCGAAAATGCTGAATGCAGTTGGGTGGAAATTGAGCATAAGGGCCCAATAGTACTTTTACCTCCCCAGGGGTTTATATCAAAGAAAGAATTTTAGGGGTGGACCTAGCCCAATATATGTTCCATATGAGGGGTGTATATTAAATGGGCCCTAATTTATATATTTAGTTTTTGTTATTTTTTGTGATAAAGAACCTCAAATTCATTAAAATATACCATTATATTTTTATGAAGAAAAGAAGCATAACTAATGTTTAATTAATATTTCTTAGTTTTTATTTGGTAAAGATAGTAATTAAATTCATATTTATTTAAATATTTCATTTGTTACAAATCAATATTTAGTAGTGTTCTAAATATCGGTTGTGGTGGCCGATATATCGGTCGCCATATCGGTGGCGGGCATAAACCTTTACGATATTTGTGTGGCGGTTTTGAAAATCGGTTTTTTGACGGTGAGGCAGTCCGAGGCAGTTTGTGGCGGCCTGTGGCGGGTCAAACCGATATATCGGATCAAATTTCGTGCGATATATCGGCAAATTTTTTTTTTTTATTTTATTTATTTATTTATTATTACTAGGAAAATAGGGTGTTTATCTTCATTTTTATTTTTTTTTCAATTCCAACCCATTATCTCTTTCAATCAAACCCAAACTCACCGACTCCGTAAGAAGAACCTGGCCTAAATATAAAAACATTTAGAACAATGAGGAGAGAATCAAGTTCTAAATGTTAAACTTTTGTTATGTGATTAGATTATATAAACGATGAGGAGAGAATCAAGTTTAATTTTTTTATACGTTTTAAGTATTTAACAAATAATATTTAGAAATATATTACACTAAATCTAAAAACCGATTTATTTCCGATATATCTCCGATTAATCACCGCCGCACCGATTTATCGTGTGGCGGTCCCTAACCACCTCAGACCCAATAACCGATATTTAGAACCTTGATATTTAGTGATCACGATGAAATTGAACCAACAATCAAATTCAACAAAAATACGAGAAAAAACTTTATATTAAAACTTGTTGTAAAGTTAAATGATATGCACAATCATAATTAGTATAAAAAATCAAAAGCACATTTACGAACAAAAAAATTAATAAAATATTGTTGGCTCCAGATTTCCACCTAGGAAGAAATCCGCCTCACTTGGGAAGTAAAGATTGGCTAAAGATTTGTTACCATGTTTATTTTGGAAATTTAGAGTCCTACCTTTGTAATACTTTAGGACTTAGATTTATTTCCTTGTACTTTACTCTTGTTAGGAATCTTTTATGGTTATCTAGATTAGATCTAGAGATTGACTAGGATTCTGTTTCCTAGTTATTCAGTTCCTTTGGAAGACAG